CCTGATGACAGACAAAACATACTGTCCGAAACGTTGAGTTCCTCACGGTTCTTTTCAGAACTATACAGACTCAAAAAAGAGATCGTATCCTTGCATGGTGCTACCGCAAGCTTTCCACCTTAGTTGTCTGTCACCATGAATAGCTTGAAATCCCATCTATTCACAGAACTAAGGTGGAAAACTTGGCGTCAGGAGACAGTCTCCTGACGACAGACAAAACATACTGTCCGAAACGCTGAGTTCCTCACGGTTCTTTTCAGAACTATACAGACTCAAAAAAGAGATCGTATCCTTGCATGGTGCTACCTCAAACTTTTCCACCTTAGTTGTCTGTCACCATGAATAGCTTGAAATCCCATCTATTCACAGAACACCTTCAAGTTTTATAAGATAACCCTACAGCTCATAAAAGTGCTTTCACCATGGTACAAATATAACATGTCAGCTATGTGTTTACACTACACAGAACTAATGTAATCTTGTAATTAAAAAGTGTATACGAGTCCCCCCCCTCGAAAGTTAGTTATAGCCAGACACTCGTTCGCTCATCATGGTTGCCGCCAAGGGCGCAATTTCTACAAACAAAAGGATACAATCTACATATCCCCACATGTCTAAGCTAGTAATGTGCGATGCACATTTCTGTAATGTTTTATTTATGAAGCACTGGTATAACATTTCAACTTTGTCTTATTTTCTTACTAGTGTTGCAAACAGTCTGCGTCGGGTGTTCATTGCAGAGACACCTACATTAGCCATTGATTGGATTCAGATTGAAGCTAATAGCTCAGTCTTACACGATGAGTTCATCTCTCAACGAGTAGGTGAGTGGATCAGGTTTACGTGATGGCTTGAATTTGACAACTTGAGTGATGCCTCTTTAACATTCAGAAATTTGACTTCAGTAATTTTTTTCTGTGTTATTTGGTATTGATTTGTCTTGTTTGACCTTTTATGGTGAAAGTCATCACTTTTATAAACATTTTTGCGGTATTTCCCAGGTTTAATTCCTCTGACGAGTGATGACTTTGTTGATAGGATGAACTATAACAGGGTGAGTTCACAGTTTTTCTTTATTTGCGTAACAAGCAAGTTTCTTCTAATTGCAGTTACTAATTTTGTAAATTGTTTCCGTCTTTCTCAATAGGACTGTACCTGTGATGAGTTTTGTCCAGAGTGTTCAGTGGAGTTTATCCTGGATGTCAAATGCACAGACGACCAAACACGGCATGTCACATCACGAGATCTCATCTCAAACAATCCTAAAGTAGTCCCTGTAAGTTGCTCTCTTGCTCATCTCTAGTTTGTAACACTTTCGATCGTGAGCAGGAAACATGACTAGGAACAAGAACTGTTGGTTCACCTGCGTGTTTTTCAATTCTATAAATTCTTGATTATGAGTTTCATGTCACATGAAAAATGACATTTACTATATTCATGTTCTTCAGTCTATGTTCTGAAAGTCTTCACAGTGAAACACTTTTGCATTCCAATGTTTATGAATTGTTTTCAGATGTACCTCAAAACAGTACTCTTAAACATATTGCTAATGAGCCAGTTGATTATTTAAAAAGAAAAAGCACGGTCATTCAGGAACAAAGCATGCCTTCAAGTCTGTGAAGATGTATTTCATGTTGGACGTCCACTGTTTGAGTACCCATATAGCTCATTAGTTGACATCAGCAAATTGGTTGGGGTTTAGTCCATTCACTTACGTTCTGATATGTCACTTGCAAGTTATAGGTTTTAGAAAAGAGAATTTCATCATCACTTTGTTCCTTTTGACTTCCAGGTGACATCAAGACATAGAGAAGATGAGTCGAGTGAATATGGTGAAAGTGACGGTAAGAGATTTGGCATTAAATCATTTCTTGCCGTATTGAAAGGCATTGCTATCATTGACTGACCACAACTTGCGAGTACATAAAGCAGTTGACAAAGGACTCGTTAGCAAGAAGTTTACAATGAAAACTGATAATAGAATTTGCATCGTTCCTCCTAGATATCCTCATTGTCAAATTGCGTAAGGGACAGGAGCTGAAATTCCATGCCTTTGCCAGGAAAGGTTTTGGCAAAGAGCATGCCAAATGGATTCCAACTGCTGCTGTTGCCTTTGAGTATGATCCAGATAACGCTTTTCGACACACTGTCTACCCCAAGCCTGAGGAATGGCCAAAGAGTGAATTTACTGAGCTGGATGATGAAACATGTAAGTTTCATTCAATGCAAAGAGGGAAATGAGCAAAAAGTTGTTTCATATTTCCGTTATGAGACTTGATCTCATTGATAGTAAATCCTTGATTTTATTCTGTCAGTTTGTAGTGGTATCTAAAGACCAATTGTGCCAGCCAAGTCATGTGACCTATAGAGGGTATCAAACAGCAACAAACATGGCGTCCTTCCATAGAAAAGTGTGTCATAAGTGTTGCTTACCAAAAATAAAGCTGATTTTTAGTGTAGTACTTAGCATATCACTAGTCTGAGTACTTTACCAACCGATGGCTTTAGTTTTGGTAAATGACACTTAGATCAGTTCAGTTTGGATCTTTTTCTGATAAAACTTGGTGTCATATAAACATTTACCTATGTTTTTTCTCTTTCCTGCACAGCTGAGGCAATGTTTGACTCAAGTTCCAACCCAAGAAAGTTCTGGATGAATGTGGAATCATGCGGTGCCCTCAGGCCAGAAAATATTGTGTTGTCCGGCTTAGCAGTACTCAAGAAGAAACTGAGTGACTTACAAACACAACACAGTCATGAGACACAGAGTGAAGGATTGGCAATCAATTAAATTGGTGTCCAAAAACTTGTCTTTTATAAAAATTTCTCCATTGCAAGGTTTCTTCGTTCTTTTTGTAACTCGTCATCCAGAAAGTCACTTTAGGTGTGGTTTAGTTCGAGCTATCTAAGGGAACTTCTAAGTTTAATACTGTATATAGCTTATTTGTTGGAAGCCACATCGGGGCTCTTTCTCAATGATGAAGGTAGTTTGTGTACCCCCATACACATGTAGTTAGCATTGTCAGGCATTATTGTCATTTTTCAATCCTTTGTTCTCCAAGTGATAATGTACAGTTTTTCCTTCCCATTTTAATTGAGCAAAACAAGCATTGGACGGACATTGCATCAAGGAAAGGGGATTTCACCAAAAGCATTTTCAATTGTCACCTCTAGAGGGAATCATTTGACACTCTTGTGGAAAGAAAAAGGAAGCTTTCAGGTGTGCTGTCCTAGCAAGAAGGATGCACGAAAAAGGGGTACATGTATTTGTATTTGTTCATGACCAAGAGAGGGCACAATTTTCTTGGCAACGGAAGCTCCTTTGGTCGGAACTGAACTTTGCTAGTTCACAAACGACTGTGAAACGCATATGTTACGGGCTCATCACTGTTATCAGTTTAACACTCCTGACCAATATGGCTGTTTTCAACTGATGAGGGGGGCTTTTATGGATAGCAGCTTAAAGCAGTGTGGAAAAAAAAAATATCACCAAGAAAACTGGCTGAAGGCATCAGATGACTTGTAACTGTTCCTGCTGGGAAGTCCAGAAACAAAGCAAGGCATCATTGCCAATGGAAGCCCAGATGTGGAAGCTACTTGAACTGTTAAATTTGTTGAAAAGATAGCTGTGAGGATATTTGCCTGTGAGAAGTTAAGCCTTGAGAAATCATTTTGCATTTGTTTGTTTTCAGGGAGGGATTTTCAAGTCGTTTTTTCCTCTTTCAGTCAAGGAAAGGTTGCTGAATTCAAACTCAAACATGCTTTAATAAAATGTTCACTTTTTAAAAAGTATCGTAGCCAACTTTAGGGTGCCCCAAAAAATAATGCATGTACATGCGCTCGTAAGACCTGTATATAGAGCAGATGACACAGTGTCTTGACACGGGATGAAACCATTGGTTCATTTTATCACCAGTGCAATTAGATGCATTTGGATTGCCCATTGTCATATAATAAATATACTACTTACTAGGCTTACAACAAAACTGACTCGTGGGTGAGTGCAAGGTTTACTTTGGAGGATAAGAGATGGGTGAGACCGCTCATGATCGTGGACCGGACAATTTTGACAATGAAAATGAGATTTGTCTCAAACCTTTGTGAAAAGAATATTTGACATTGTATGACAAGGCCATCGGTGTACAATTAACATGAAGACTATTGAAGTTCCCCCTTTTGTTTCCAAAAATCATATTTGAAAATGTGTACACAAGAAGAAGTGTTTCGACAGTATGTATTGAATGCCCAAAGTTTAGTTTTATTCAATGAACCTACCCTGTAAATTTCGTTCATTTCTTGTTTAAGCCTACCGGTTCTTCAAATGTACACAAACGATGTGCAAGTACAAAGCGGCAGGACTACTACTAGAAACGTTTGGTGCTCCGCCCCCCTCCCCCCTCTGAAAAATTGTGTTATTGCGTGTTCTAGATACGCCACTGGAATAGACTGGATGTGTGATACTGGACAGTTGTACAGCTAAGGATACACAAACTGCATTAAATAAGGGTTGTTTTTTGCAAAAATGCGTCTCAATTTTTTAAATCTTTGTTTTGCTAGTTCGGGAGATATTTCCTAGGGTACTTTGAGTGCCTTTTGGGGCTTATGCAAATATCTATAGTAAACTTGTTGCTCCAAAAAGCAGACCGCAATGTTACATTGATACGTGTATGTGCATAAAAACTGCTGAAGGTATTGCTGTCCTGTAGCTCATTTTCTGTGGTGGTATCGGTGCACGGCAATAAGCCAACAAACAACCCTGGGAATGTTTTCAAGGAAAGAAAACTTTGGCATCACAATTTCAATAGGAACACATAAATAATAACTGAACAGTGTGTTTTTTTTTCCCTCAATGACATCACAGCAACATGCTATGTCCCCAAGTGTCTGGAGAAGCATGGACAATTATTCAATGATTCGAAAAGTTCATTTTTCAATACACTTACCCAAATGGAATGTTAAAAGCTGTCATACAGAGGAACTGTCCAGAAGTGTGTCTCATGTATGTGGCCTGTAGTGTTGCACAGCTTCTTTGTCGTTTGTTGTGTGTACTTCTTTTTTAGTTTCTTCAAATGCATCAGTTTTTTATTCAAAAGCTAAGCTTTTTATTCAAGTATTATCTTCTTAAAAATAAAAGAAATGTATGAAAATAATTTCATTTTCATTCATTTTACTTAAAAGAAAGTGTCAATATACTGGTATGCAGGTAAATCTTATAAGCATGTCGCATTTAGTTCAAACTTGCACAAATGTAAAATTGTAACATGAAATTACAAAACTGATCTGTCATAGAATCACAAAACAGATTTGTAAGAAGAAAAACATAACATTCTGGTTTACTTAGAACTGGCATTATGTTCCTCTCTACTTGGCAGCAAGCCAGGCAATGCTTGCTAATATCCAGGGTAGTGTCTAGACGAGAGGTCATTGCCGTATCACCTAGATTTGAAAAAAAAAAGAGATAAAACCTCACATGTCCAGGCACTTTACATATGCTGTAAAGTTCACGAGTACTGAGCACACATATTAAAGTACACGTACGTTGTATTGTTCACCATGACGGTGCCACACACTCTTATGCTGATGACGTCTGCAGAGCATGTGATGGGTTGGAACATATGTGTGGGGGCGCGGATTTCAAGTTAGAATGTGGCACTCGTGGGCTAGTGAAACAGATCATCTTCAACATAATCTATGAATAGCTGTAACACTGAAGACAGTCTTTTTAGTTTGGTCAAATTGGCAATAAGAAAATGCATAGAGCCAAGTCAAAGAATATTGAAAAGTTAATAATCTTAGTGCTAAATCAGGCAATTCTAAATGCACCTGTGTGGGTTGTCAAATAGAAGATAGAAATATCACCTGTATGTTCTTCCCTTGAAGAGCCCTACTTCCTCCAAACCTGAGGCACATGTGGTAAAGCATACATATATGTAACAACAATCCACCTCTCAAAAGCTTAATTTCTTGTCTCTCTAGGTAGGCCTATACTTCAACATTTCTGTTTTTAGAAAAGCAGTGACTACAATGAAGTTTTTGCTGGTCTCGATCACTTGTTAAAAGCATTACTATATTAGTCAATGAGGTCATAATCCAGTCTAGAAATAACAGAAACCTTGTTACTCTGTCAAAGGTGTAAATGTGATTCTTTACAAAAATGGAAAGGTGATTCAACTGGATGTGATTTTGGTTGGGATTATCCAATTTTACTTCCACCCAATCTTTCTGTTTTCATCTATAGGGAAATCACATCCGGGCTTTTCAGAGTGGTGATCACTGTTCCATCAAGGACAATATGTTAACAAGATTATGTAGGCTTGCTCATTATCAAAGTGACTCCAGACACCTCCCACTTCCAGGTATTTGTCGGTATCTTCATGAGCATAGATAATGACCCTAGACTGGTCACCAGCTTCCTAGTGCACAAATTTGGCCTCCTTGCCTCTACTCATTTTGTAACCTACCTGTACTTTGTGTATTGATTACTTTGCTAGGAATTTTCACTCAAGTGATAGTTCTGATTATCACTTACAAGCTACACATGATATATGAATGTTTTTCTAACTTGGAATTTAAGCATTCTTGATGCTAGGCCATGCCTAACAAAACTCGACCAGTAGATGTACATGCCAGCTACATGTACATGCCGTCTACATGTACATGTACATGCCAGCTACATGTACATGCCAGCTACATGTACATGCCGTCTACATGTACATGTACATGCCAGCTACATATACATGCCAGCTACATATACATGCCATCTACATGTACATGTACATGCCGTCTACATGTACATGTACATGCCAGCTACATGTACATGCCAGCTTCATGTACATGTACATGCCAGCTACATGTACATGCCGTCTACATATACATGCCGTCTACATGTACATGTACATGCCATCTACATGTGCATGCCTGCTACATGTACATGTACATACCAGCTACATGTACATGCCATGTACATGTACATGCCAGCTACATGTACATGTACATGCCAGCTACATGTACATGTGCATGCCAGCTACATGTATCATCTGTGTCTACATGACTTCACCAATCTGTGCATTTTTCTTTCATGTTATTCCTCCATGCGTGTACTTTATGCAGGTTATGCATCAGTGCTGAAATTACCAGTGTGTCCACTTTTCCCGAAATTCAGGAAATTTCGGTGTTCTTTGGGAAATTTTAGGAAATTCAGGAATTAAAGGAGTATTTTGTTAATTGCAAATCAAAGAAACAAAACCCTTTTTCCCGTTCCCTTTGTTTTTCTTCAAAGCAGAATTTCACATTTCATACTACATGTATTAAACCTGCTACAGAGTGGGACTGTCCGCCTAGTACAGGCACACGTACACTACACAGTTCTGACCCACACACCCAATCCAAGCTGCCTAGCCACAGCCTCACACAAGTACACGTCGGGTATGCATCCATGCATGTACATGTGCATACATGTACATGTATATATGTATGGAGCATTGGAGGCTGTTACTAATGTACACCCATGAAAAAAACAACAAATAGCATTACAGGAAGAATTGTTGAAAATTTCAGGAAATATCCATTAAATTTTGGAAAATTTGGGACTCTAATTTCAGGAATTTCTTTTGATCTGTGGAAACAGTGAGTCTTACTGCGATATAAGCAAGTGAACAGTTGTGAAAAGGAGAAACAAAACTCTTACACTTCCAAGGGATGAATGGAGGTACAGGTGCATTGTAAATGATCATGGGGCAACTCCTCAGATGTGGTAAATGTTGTACAAATCTGACTACTTTGAGAGGTTTGGTGAAACCAAGGCGGAATATAATAATATAATAGAAATGGCCAATCTCCCCAGTTAAAGTGCTGGTGCATGTACATGTATGCATATACCGTTAACTATGAATCACAAAGGGAGGCTAGTTTTGCAATTTACTACAAGATAAGACAGTCGTGCATTTTTTGTTTTATAACACCATACCCATTACCCACAGGTTCTGCTTTGTCTAAGCATGGAGGTCCAACCTCTGTGGTTAAAGCAATCACTAATTAATTAAATCTGAATATAATTAAAACATACTTCCATTTCAACAGAAAATTTGTTGGCTGGCGCTCCTCCAAACTACCGCTTCACAGAATATTTTAATCCAGCTATTTTACACAAGCACCTTAAGTGAGAATACAAGAATTGCACACACTAGTATGTATTTCACATTTTTTGTTTGATTACTACAGTACTTTGACCTTCCACAGCAAGATAACAAACTGTCACTTGCCATGTGACTACCTGATATGACCAAGGAGACCAAGAAAGATCTGTGATTGCTTTGAATGTACAGGTACTTATCAAGGATTGAAATCCAATCTAACATTATAAGAGGTTCATCTAATTTGTTACATAACAGGAGGTGGATCTGATAGCATGGTCTCTTTATCAACTATCACAATTTCCTGACAATCTTGCAAAGGCCTGCAAAACACACATGCTTGATTTGCCTAGGGTAAACTCACCCTGTTGTTATTCTGAAACTAAGCACATTCTAGGGGAACTTCCTTTGTATTCAGCAATAACTTTTTAATAGCTCTTTGCTCAACAGGTATGTTGGGAGGTACACTTCTGCCCTGCTTTTAAATACTTTCTTTAGGGAGCCTTTCAATTTCCACACAATATTTCCATTTCACTGCATGAGACAAAAAGTTTCAAGTCCAAAAATGTCAAGAACCCAAGAAATTGCGTGTATCTGGGAGAGGGAATGGCATTATGTTACCATTTTAGTTATTGAAAGTGACATTTATTACTTAAAAGTGGTGCAATATCCACCTTTCTTGTGGGGACTGACTGTGGGGATTCCTTTGGGGTAGTACCTTCACAGTGGGACGCATCATTCCTCGTACCCCCCCACCTCTGGGGTACTTTGGGGGATGGAGACTACTTGACAGTCATTTTTTTAAGAAAAAAAAAGTCCATTTTGTCTCCTGGGGCTGAAGATCTCGATACATTACTGAGAAAAATGTACCTTTGCTTTTTGCCTTATATACATGTACTTGGGGTTGGGTTCTTGACAGGATTTTTGGGAAATAAATTTGCTTTTTCATTTGTAAGCAAGTTCTAATCAAGATTTACACTTACAGTTGAACCTTGTTAAATAGAGGTTCCTCGGACTTGGCAGAAAACCATCAGGAATAAAAACCATCAGGAATAAAAACAATGAAGAACAAAGGAATGGAACCTAAATAGTTGCTCTTGAGGTTCAACTGTTAATTTCACAGCATTCTAGCAAGCCAAGATGGTCTTTTTCAATAAAACAAAGAACAAAAAATTGCATGCCAACATTTAGGCAAAGATTAAATGTACATTAGCAGCGCACATGTACACATACCTTAAATGTTCCCTAACCTATTCCTTCAGAATCCTTGACCTGGCTAATAGTCATTTCTCAGAAAACACACAAAGGACCTGCAACAAGGCCATATGCAGCACTGACCTGTACAGTGACCATACATGTCCATACACATTGTACATGTATATGTATACCCAGTGTGCACTGAATGTGTAAGAGTTCTGCTCTCTATGTTCTCAATGAACATTTTGTTGGGCCTGTATTATGTAACATTATGTAACAGTCAGTGAAGCATGGGCACATTTATCTGCCTGCATGTACATGTACTGCAATCTTCAGGAGCACTTGGTACAGGAGCTTCCACATTGCTGTACTGTATGAATCCAGAAGCAAATTATCAGGTTGTGAGGGTTTCCTGCATCTGTTCATGTATACCCTCAACTCCAGGCCACTGGATGGGAAACTCATACAATACACTCATTTCATTAGCTTGTTGGACCACACAACTGGCGGCAGATTTTGAGCATTAATTGACTTGATTTTTAGTAAACGACTGGTTTTTTTTTTCAAATTAAGTGATACTGAACCACATGTAGGCATATTTGGCAAGTTCAACGTAGGGCCTACATGGCACACTCTATGCAGCTTCCTAAATTATAAGTGATAATGTAAAAAGCAGAAAAATACCTACATGTACAAATACATATATGTTAAAATGTACCATTATTAACACTAACCCTCCTCAATCCTTCACCTGTTGGAGGACTGAGGAGTGTTAGGGTTAACAGATAAAAGGAAATCTGAAGATTCACACAAATAAGTAATATCAAAACATGAATAGTGGAACATTTAGCAGGAAAACATCCAAACAGCAAACTAATTATTTTCTTGGCCTTTCTTTTATTTGCTTGAACAAATGAAACATTTGACATTCTGTCTGATGCATGAGGTAAGCTTGGCTAATAAGACATGTATGGTACATCACCTTAAAGGTACACTCCAAGACAAAGCAATTATTAAAACAACTCTTTCAGAAAGAGATTGTCACTGTTCTCAAATACCTAATTAATCACCCCCTCAGAAAAGCCAAAGCACTCTTTGATTAGTATTAGAAATTTGGAATAGATGACATCTGAAAATAACACAGACATCAACGCAACTGTTTCACTGAAACCTGTTGGCATTAATAGTTTGTACTTGTTAGAGGTAGCCTTTAAATAAGATTTACAAACCCCTATATGCAAACCAGCAGTTTTTCTATTGAGCAATGCATGCATAAAAACACAGAGAAAAGGACGGTACATCCGTTGTCATATGACTGCTTAAAACAAAACCTACAGCAAGTCTACTTTCCTTGTGACTAAAATGCTGATAGATTTCCCTCCTGAAGGAGTGAAGTGTTTTCAGCTCTGACCAGTACCTGGACGTAGTATGACAATGCACACAGATACAATTATCCCCTCTTAATGTTTGCTGTGTGTATGACAGATTACTAAATGAATATTTCTGAATATCGTACTGAAGAACACAGAAATTGTAAACAAGATACCAGTTGCTGCAAACAAAAATGACAACATTCCCATGTCTTGCAAAACACAAAATAAAAATCCAAGCAAAATCAGTTGTATCATATGTAACAGGACAACCAGTAAGGCAATTACGTACCACTATTCCACCACTCAAGCACTTGATCCCTCTTGAACTGGAAAAGTCACCCAATGAAATTTTCCATGAAAAAACACATTTTTTCCGAAGCAGCCATGTTGAAATGGCTTGATGCCTCCATCTCAGAAAGGCCACATAAAAACAGCTGGAAACAGTTTACACGAACTACTCATTTCAACACTCATCTACACTAGAACAATTTAATACATGAATAAACACTAAAACTACAATACACCAAATTGTGTGCATAATATGCCAAAGTGCCCAAAAGAGAGGGATTACTTTAACAAGTCAAAGGAGGTATTTTGAACATTGTCACTAAATTGAATGCAAATATTACAGTTTCCAAATACATGTATCCAGCGCTGATGGAACTTTCAAACTGATCCGTGTGCATCCCATTATCACGATTACATTAATCTGTATACTTATAGGACATATTGATCATCAGTTAACCACGGCTTGAAAATCTGCATTCAAATTCATTGGCGAACCATTTGTGTTATTCTACATCTATGTCACAAAATTATAACAGGTCTTGTTCAATCATTTTTTTGTAACTGTTCTAATAAATTTCCTTAAAAGAACATAACCTGTCCATTTCTTCTTAAGTCCATATACAATTCCAGTATTACTCTTTTATACAAATTACGATTCAACGAGGTATTTATGTCAAACTTGGACCTGGTCCATCAATCTACAATGCTAGTAATCATGGCACATGCGAATAGACTTCATTTGCTATGTTTATTTCATAGTGTTAGCCCATCCCTTTGCAGCATTATCAGTTCTGTACAAACAAACCATATGTTCTTCTCCACAGTGAAATTTGGATAGAGATTTCAGAAGACTTTCCAAATTAAACAGTTTCACCATGAGATAAAACCCTGGCCAAATGATGCCAGCTTGTTTTGAGCTTCCAGCCAATGCCAATTATTACAATGGAAGTAGGATGCAGGGGCTTTAGGTGTTAACGCCTTGTAAACTTTCACCACTCACAAGCAGCAATCATGCATCCCCTTACCCTTTAAAGACCATTTAGACTACATTTTAATGATACAAGTTAATAAAAACTACCACCTACAGTTGTCTGATTTAATGACTAAATACACAAACATGCAGCATTTTAAGTTGAACTTTGTTAATTACATCAATCATTGACAGGAAAATCAAATGGCTTTTGGCAACACTCGTATTCCCTTCCTCAACCACCAACCGACTACATGTAATTACCAACTCATCCAAATTGTTTGGATAACAGTCATCTGATCTTTCATTCTAATATTTCATTTTTAAATCAACAATATAAAGACAAAGAGATTCTAATGACAATTCCTAACAAAAACCAAGCAACAATGCAACGTTCTAATAAACACTTATACAAATTTCAAATTAAAAAATCAACGCAGTAACAGATCTCTACAGAGTGGATTCCATTCAATATGACCAAAACTATTTTAGATGACATCTGCTTGTAAATTTATGGAGATGAACTGTCCACTTAAATCTTGTGAATGTAAGACAAGTCATCTGACTCTTTAACAGATCAGCTTCAAGCGGGTTTTTAAGGGCTGAACTAATATTGTGTTTTCAACTTTTCATACAAATTTATCATGTGGAAAACAGTAATCTTGAGATGTGGAGGAAATTTACTCCAGACACATGCACTCAACAAGGAAGAAGGGTTTTTAATGTTGAACTAAATCAGAACCGAGCACTAACAAAGGATTGCCAATGTGTACTATTCCAGAAGTAACCTACCAAGCTAAATGTACGTGTACATTTTATATTGGGTTAACTCAGAGGAAACCTCTCCCACCGAGTTTACAAAAATGTATGCACAGTAGGACTCGAGTATGAAGTCTTGCAGAAACATAAAATGCCACCCAAAACAAGAATAGCATAAAATGATAACAATGCTTGGCATTGGAAACATTGTCTTGTTACATCTCACTCAGCTGCAAATAAACATTCATAATGACCTAGGTTATTTCTATCTTTAACAGACACATCTGAGTGCTTGCTTTTATAAAAAAAAAACCTACATTTGTACAATACCTGAGTTTAAACAGAGTAGTAGAGCTAGCTCTTGAGTAATAAAAATCGAGCCACATTTCACCACACTATTGAGGTAGATGCAACTTTGCAAAGCACTATATTTGTCGACATTTAGATGGGACTTGAAGAGAAAAAAAAAAGCCTTTGATGGGATCTTAGAGACACACCACCCACAAGGCTACCCGTAATTCAAGTTACATGTACATACAGCTACACACCTAAGGCTTTGCTTTGCAATTTGTAAATCCCATAAAATGTAATGACGCAGCACAAACATGGACCTAGCAGCGAGGCTGCAGAAGGCAAGCTAGTATGTACAGCACAGCAGTTATCATAACAGAAGCGTAAGAGTTTTAATACAATTTTTAAAACATCCGTTTAGGCAGTATAGAGTCTTTACTTCTACCGCATGGAAGTAAAATTCAATCATTCAGTAATCACGCTTCATTCTGAAACATCAAACACTAAACTTGGCTTAAAACCCATTTGCTGTATAAAAGTGAATCAAAATTGTAACTAAATTGCAAAACCCAAGGTAGTTGTTGTCAGTTGTAGTGACATATTTGCTAATATCCACTAAACAGTTTAATACTCAAAGCACTACCATTTGATTTTTAGCAAGTATTCTATCATTACATGCAGAAAAATACTAAACTGTGCAGACTTATCACAGTGTAACCTACTCACAATTTAGCATCGCCCAGAAGAAACTGGAGGAATAATTATATCCAAATGTGCAAATGCTTCACGCATCCAAATTTACTTCAAACTGTTACAATCTTTCCCTTTCTTCTCATCTACTTATAAAATGTAAGACAGCTGAGCTGATCAAGACGATCAGATGCTGGTTGAGCATTTGTATAAATGTCCGTCTGGTACCCTTCTGAATAAATCACACACTTATATAAATGATACATAATGTCAACAATTAAAAGCACACATTTCAAAAGCCTTCGATCTGAAATCCCTCTACAAGCTATTTCTGAATTACACATACAAGCAAAGTATATCTTCAACAGTATCTCAAATAATGTGTCTACATTTCCTGTATGTCTTTGATTGGAAAAGCAAAAGCGGTTTCGAGGAAACTTCTTTTCATAAAAGTATGAGCTCTTTTGAGAGATATATAAACTGCTTAAATTCACAATTGAGCACCTTAAATCACTTCATTACCCATTTCTTTAAGCAGTAAATACAACAACTCCTAAAGTCTATGTTTCACTCAAAAAACAACCAACTGAAAACAAACTACGTGTATAAATCCCACAGTAAAACAGGTACTATTTTGAACTCTCAATGAACAGTGAATTCCCATGCAAGAATTTCTAAAGTCTCTTTTGACAAAGTTAACCAAATTTGGCACATTTTTTTAAATGATCAAAGAAAAAATTAAACATTTTTCAGGAGATGGCACAGGGGTATGCAACGTTTTCCAGTTTCTCAAACACTTTTTCACAGGTTACACATGTATGTCCATTTCTTATTCTTCATTTACAATTATCTTTTGGAGATCTGTAAACTAGCCTCTGGTTATTAATCCATTTTAGACTGATATCCCATGTTTACTATCTACAGGTGTTTAAAAGAGCTGACCTCTTAAAGCATGCATACTGATTTCTTTATCACCAACAGAAAAATACTGAATCCTTATTTTCCAGGTCAGTTTCAAACTGACTTGTGGTCTGGTCTTTCTGTTTAAGGTCAAGGACTTATTCTGAACACTGTTCCCCTTAGTTGTAAAATGAATAGTCCAACAGTCCAGCATGAAAGGAGCCATCACTTGTAACAGTCACTGAGGCATATATAGCAATACAAGTTGCAGTGAACAGGACAGTATTTGTGAAACTGTGATGCTACATAAGCAATCCACTCTCATTCATTTTTAAAGAAAACAATTGTGTAATTTCACAGAACCTTTTGTTTCTCATTAGCACAGCGCCACGACACCCTTAAATCTCACCAAAATTGAAATACACGTACCAATCCTGGAACAAAAAAGAGCCTTCTTGATATTATCAAAAAACCTAGTTTTGAACAACAGTTCAATTGATGGTGTGTTTCTGGCTAAAGTACATGTAACGTTGTAAGAAGCAACGTGAAATTCCATACTGAACAGTCAAAAAAAGGTTAACTGTCATTCTGCTTTACCAGAATAGTCCTTCATTGTGTGTACCTTTGGCAATTTATACACAATTCTTTCCCATACACACAATTCAAACAATTTCCAGTTTTTTTCAACAAGGTACAAGACAGTGATCCTGTTAGTCCCTTTAAGCAAGGTAGTCAGGGCAAGCAGCTAAGGAAACTGACCTCCTGCATAATGCTGTGGTTAGATTAAGTCCAAGTGACCTACACATACATGCATGCACTCTACACTGCTTTGGTCGCCATGTTGGTTTCACCAAATTTGTGCACAGCACTGCAGTTTGCCACCGAAGCTAAGCTGACAAAAAAGTGGTTGTGTTAAAGAAACTGACGAAAAAAAGGTGATCAAGGAATCTTAGATCAAGTTTAAATGAAGCATTATTGTTGAATTTTGATCTGTCATACATCATTACATGTACATGTATAAGCAAACAATTTGGTCGGTGGTAAGGCAAGGGTGAAAGTTTTTTCTGCCACAAAAAAAAAACCTCCAAGCGAATGAAGTGACCAATCTGGCATTCTAATGAGACCTCTATGAGCATGGATAAGTACATGTATATTAAAGGGGAGAAGACATGTTGTACTCAACTGTGATTAATGGGTGAGATTATAAGCGCATTAACACTGAGTCATACCTTACCTAGTCCACTCTGTCTAATGTCCTTTTTGCAAGTTGAATACTGCACTTGTTTGGCATTTGAGTATGCGTCTTTTAGCTTATTATCGAAATGAACTCTGATACAATGAGACATTTATACATTGACATGTGTTATTGGAGGCTTGGCCTAATTGTTGGGAGTGCAACATTGTACCTTGAGAAAGCCTGAGATTTTTTCCTGAGTTTAAAAGCGCTGCGTACTTCTGAAGTACATGCAGTTCAAACTGGCGCAGGTAAATTACATGTATCGAAAGTATCGATTATTGAGCTTCTGAGGTAAACATCTGTAAGAGAGCCAAGCAAGAACACAATATTATAGAAAAATACAAATGTGATTAACTGTCCACTATAATAAGCCTAACAAAACAAGGAACACAAAATGTCACAAGTTCAAACATCAAAGAATCGATTCCAACAATTACAAGTATGACTATATACAGATGCTCAAAACAAAATCGCAAAGTGTTCATCAGAGAAGAAAATAAACACCAACAAAAGAGACAAATTCCCCACATGAACCTTAAACCAAGGCACTGCTTTGTACTACAAAACCTACACGCAAGTCTAATAAGAGGAGCAAGACAATTACAATGAGGTACAATTTAAAACTGGTGAAATCTAAAACACATGCATTTATAAATGTACATGTTTAATGGCAATCACAACGACTTAAAAAGAACAAAATGGTATTCAAACTTATCTGTCAATTTGGCAGGCAATTTCTTGAAACAAATTTTATGCAGAGCAAAGAGACTTTCAACTTGTATTTCAAACATAAGGAGTATACCGGTACATTGGAATCATTTACTAATAATTTTGGTAGTTTCAGTAGCAATAGAGGTACTTTAAGCTTTTAAGGTTTTGTGGGGTTGAGTTTAATATAAGAGTAAGCAAACATTTGTCCAACATTCCTAAAATGATTCCGGCATACAGTTGTTTTATGGTTAAATTTGAAGAGTGCTGAAGAACCTGAATTCTGTGACACCTTACATGTATATTCTAAAATCTATTTCATGAACTGCTTATTACATGTACTTCAGCTGCCTTTCTGAAATTAACCAACCTCAGAAGTATGTCCTTCCATTTCAAAAGGCAGCCTTGCAGAGACTTAAATACTGCACACTAATACATGTACATGTATTAAACCCTGAATGTATCGCTTTTTAAGCACTTGTCTTTTCCAGTATAAAAAATCATAAATTTCTGCTGCACAAGACGTTAGCATCTCACTGCATGGTTGGACCTGCACAAAAACATCACCTTAGGCTGATGTCTGGCTAAAACACTAAATATTCTCAACAGTTAAAAATCTTTGGTGGTGGAAGAGTTTATATTTTAGTGTGGCACTATCAAGGTACCACAGCTCACATTGACAACACCTACAAGATCAGCTGGGACAATTTTACAAGAAAAGATTTTGCCTTTTCTTCCAAATTTGATTATGCGCATTCTCATTTGGCCAAATATGGATGCTTTTCAATGAATTACTATTCTTTTTTGTAAACTTTTCTATCTAAAGAGCACGTTCATTTTTATCAGGCAGCTTTAAAATGCATAATTTTGAACATACTAATCATGCAGATCTGCTATCAACTTACCCAACAATCTCCAGGTTATGGGAACCTTTAAACAATCACCACGCAAAAAAGTTTTACTCTGCTTGACAAATAAAAATACCTATTTCTAACCCCAGCACCATTAAGATGTTTGCATTTTAACACACATCACAAAATCTCCTGAGAAAGCACTTTAGATAAAATATAATTGTATTTTTACATTTACATCACATGCAAGCATAATTTCAATCTATACAATATGCCAGAGGAAGAAAAAAACACACCATTTTCAAAAATTACAATTGTTTTTTTTTTCCTTTGTAGTGAGGGTTAACTAGGAATATGTACCACAAGTACTGGAAAGCACAGCCAAGTCCAATGCTTTGAGCACTGCAAGGCAAAACTTTTCAACACCAACAATAAGCACATACTTTACAATTTGTTTAATGTGATGTAGCCAAATGCAAACAACTTAAAGGTACTGGCCCATTTTCACTTTTTCACCAGCCATCCACCGATTGACGGCTTATATAATACCCGTATACATTTTTATATTCAGAAACCTTGCACACGATTGTTGCCAAAGTCGACCACTAAAATCAAGCCATCATGGGTGACACAGATTCCAGATGGGCGGTCCAGTTGACCTGGTTGCGTCCCCTGAATGCCAAACTTACACAGGAAATTACCATTGGGCTGAAATGCTTGAATGCGATGGTTTCGGGAGTCGGCTACGATGATGTTGCCTTCTTGATCGATGGCTACTCCCTGAGGTCTGAGAAACTGCCCATTATTAGTTCCTTCTGAGCCTAGGAACCGAGCTGTCTTGAACTCTGGATGGATGACAAGCAAGCGATGGTTGTTGAAGTCTGTGACAACTGCATGGCCCTCGTTGTTAAATGCAACACCTCTTGGAGAATCAAAGTGTTTCCACAATGCTCCCTCAAAGCCGTACTTATTGCAGAAGGTGCCATCTGGATGGAAGAGCTGGATGCGATGATTACGTGTGTCTGACACCAGGATCTTTCCTTCACTGTTGATAGCAACATCCCAGGGATAGTTGAACTGACCATTCTTACTTCCTTTCTCACCAAACTTGAATAGGAACTGCCCCTCAAATGTGAAGACTTGTATTCGGTGATTATCCTTGTCTGCAACAGTTATATTTCCTTGATTGTCGATGGCGATTCCTGCTGGACGGTCAAACTGCCCATTTCGAGACCCAGCCGAACCAAATTTGTGATGAAATGTTCCATCCGGATTGAAGACTTGAATGCGGTTGTTGCTACGATCAGCAATGACAATGAAATTGTCCTTATTGACAGCTATACCCCATGGACGACACAGATGACCATCACCTTCACCTTCTGTACCAAATGCAAGCTGGACATGGCCGATATTAGAGTAATTACGACCAGTTCGGACAGTTACAACAAAGGGGCTATCCTGGATATGGGTTCCTCTGATTGTGACGGACACAACGTGCCTACCTTCTAGCTGTGGCCGGTAACTGGCAGTGTAAGTGCCATTCTGACGATCAATGACTTCAGCAGGGTAGAGGCCCCCCTCTGGTCCCTGGATTATAACTTCCACAGCTTCACCTCCGATACACCGACATTCACCATTATGATCCTTGGCATGCACCACAAAAGTTGTGATTTTCCCCTGAAGTGCACGCTTCAGCCCATCACCTGTGGCATATGATGTCGGAGCATAGGCACCACTACTGATGAATCCCATAGAGCTGATGGCAGTATGTAGGGCAGCATCTGGGGGTGTAAATACAATCTGATCATCTTCATGTGGCTGCAGATGACCCCTAAGACTCCTCAGTGACTGCATCTGATTGACAATTACATCCTTGGTCTTCAGAACGTCTAAGTCAGTGCCACTTTGCAAAGCCTTCTCCACAGCACCCACACAATTTGAGACACTCTCTAAGCCACGCTTCAAATCTTCCATTTGCATATGTAATGCTCGTCCTTTTACCTGCCGGATTTTGTCTACCTTACGAAGCAAATCTCGTTCCCGTTCTTCAAGTGCTGTCTGATGTCGATGCATGGTTGTCTGAACCTCCTTGATCACATACTGTGTTCTCATTTCAACTCTCTCAGCCATGGTTTTAGCGTGGGACAAACTCTCTTGCAAAGCTTGCATTCCATTTTTGGCATCACTGAGCAGACGGAGGGTAATAGCTTTGCTGTCTTCAACTGCATTCTGAAGATACACGCAGCTGTGTCCACGATGCTCCATCATAGTACAGTCACGGCATATGGCTTTGCTACAGGAATCACAGTACAACCGTAAGACCTCATTTTGATGGATTTCACAATAGCTTGGGGGCCGATCAGACACTGGTTGTATTTGGGCTTGGTAGGACTGGTGCTGTGAATGTCTGAGGTGACTTCCTGATGTACTGAGCCCTGAGGATTGTAGTGTAACTATCTGGTGGTCTTTTGTTAATCGGACTCGCTGGTGGGCTAGCACACAGCTTTCACATAGCATCTCATTGCAATCCCTACAAAGCCTGGATGCAACTTGCCCCTCGTCACATGAACTGCACGTCCGCCGGTCAGACGGCAATACAAGGGAGTCTCCTTCATCTTCATGACTGCCAACCACATCCAAAATATTACTTATGAAAAGATCGGACGGCAAACCGTCCACCCCAAGATCACCAAGCTGGCTTTCCTGGTAACAAATAGGGCACCGAATGCGGTCTGGTTCGGCGACCCTTATTTCTAGGCAGGGCCGGCAGAACCGGTGAAAACAGGCAAGTATTTTGGGCTCCGTACCCTGCAGTCGTTCAGAGCAAAGGGCACACCATTGCTGTTCGTTATTGAAATCTTCGGCCACGGTAGCAGGAGCGAAAGCGGCCATGAGTGGAGCTGGTGCACGGAGCAGAGTGACGCATTGGCGGTCGTACTTTGGGACTCGCAGGAGGTCAATGCTCGCCTGCCTGTTTTTAAGAAAGCACATTACGTAAAGGCCCAAATCACTGAGAATTTACAGTTGTGTGCTGGCTTAGCCAACAAGATAAAGTCCCTTTGTGCATTGCGGTCAGAGTATTAAGTAACGCTATCTAAATGCAAAAGGTCAACACTGAAACACGGGCTGTGCTTTACAGCATTTACCCCCTTAATTTGGAAACAAAAAAAAGAAATCGCTGCTTTGGGAGCCCGATCTTAACTGGTTTCAAAATAACATGCACTCTGTCAAGAAAACTGTCACTCAAAATATGTATTAATGGCTCACCTCCTCCATGATCCAGGGAATTTCTGTACATTTACTGGCCACTATTAGAGGAATCCCACACCGGCAGTTGTCGTCCACCGAACATGTACTGCCTGCATGATATGTGCGTAAACCTCAAGCCCACCGTGTAGTAAAACTGGGATCCATCGCCGGACCTATAAAGTGGGCGGAGCTGTTGATACGCCAAGTTTATCATTGGCCAATTGCGCGTATGTCGTGCCAGAGTTCACCCAGAAAATTTGCATCATAATCACTACAAGAAGACTCCCATGTTTTACCGCCCCGCGCAGGAATTAGCTCTCTTTGTTTTTGCAAAAGTTATTACGAGTAAATTACGGGTAAGTTTTCTTTTCTCCGCAAGTAACAACAGAAGCAAGAAATCAACTCTCTTCCTCAGCCATTTTCAATTTATTACAATTTGATTGAATCACTTTTTTCCATCATAATAGCTGTTCAGGGAACTTACGAATTTTCCTTAACAGGAATTGAATGTTTCCCGAATCCCAAGTTCATCTACATTTGGTGAAAAAGGTGACATGGAAGATCGTTTGCTCTGAGAATATAGATTGTGCCCCAACATGAAAGGGACAGAAATTAACCCGAAGACATATTTTTAAAAATGACATGCAAATGTGATCATTGTTTAATTAATGCCTTGATTATTTAAATGTTCACATGTGTATGATGTTGTAGTGGTCTGTATTTGTAAACATTAAAGTTTGTCGTATTTGTCAATTTTACTTTCCATTATGAGTTTCTAACTAATGTATTAATTTATGTTCGTAGGGCCCCAGTGGAAACCAGTTTGAAACTGTTTGGGCACACCCTGGGTAAAGAAATGGAATAAATAAATAAATTCGTAACACGTTTAATTAAAATACGGCGTGGCTGACACAATGCATTGAACATCAATGTAGGCAAACATTAACTCATGTAGACAAAACGATGGGAATTAAAACGAAGCACATGTATTAACAAGTATTGGCAGTTTCTAAAATTTCTTGGGATTGCTAGACTGACTCCCTGTTTATCCTTATCTATAAAAACAATCCACCTCATCGGATTGGCTTATTCCAGACAATGCACGTAGGGAGGAAGTTCATTTCCGCGATAATGAAGCAGAAATAATGCCTTGGGAGCCAGTGTTACTGTGCAAGATTGTCCTGTTTGGTGTGGTTATTGACGAATGAAAGTATTATATTTCTGATGACAAAGGATTATGCATATCAACGATATCACATGCATGTCCGCAGTGTTTTTAAAGCTCTTGTTGGCTAGTTTTTTTTTTATTGTACATTGTCTTTAATATTTTATGTTATGTGTCTGTGAGAGTTTTTATATGTGTCGAGGTTTACTGTATATAGTACATGTAATATTAATATTATATTTATTATTCTTTTTTTAAATCTAGTTTTATCTTGTACTTATACATTATCAGCCCTTGGGCTGTCTGCTACAAACATAACAAACCATAAATAATAATAACGATAATATAAAATCGTGTGTTTTAATGTTTTCAACAACGTCTACATGCGTGCTTGACGCAACCACCCTACAACGCAAACAGTGCGGCTGCGTTGGAATAGAGACGTTTTCAACTTATTTGAAGGCCATGTCAAAACATATGTGGTCTCACCCTCCCTAAAATGGTGACATGTAATCAACCTAGTCGAAGTTTACTCACTCAAACATTTCTTGGTCTCTTCATTGAGAAATGGAGGGTTGCACGTGGGCCAGACTGCAATTTCGAAAGTTTGAGCAAACAGCCGTAGCGCGCCTGCCGAACAGCCACGTGATGTGACATACATGTACATGTACATGTGCTCAAATTAGAACTTGTTAAAGGTCAGCTAGCTGTGCATGCTGTGAACATGAATACAGCTTTCGAAACATGAGTTCATAAAAGTCACGTACCAGAGTGGTTTCATGGGTCCTATTCAACGCGAAGAAATTTGCCACTTTTTCGACTGAAGCACGCTTGAATGGAAACTTATGCTCACAATGGAACTCGAAGGCTTGTTTTGGTTGAAAATCATCGGAAATCGATATTTTTTGTAGTTTTTGTCAACTGTAATTATATGCTTAGGTCCGGAAAAAATTCGAAAATGGACCTACGAAAGTTGACAATAACGAAATACGGTGAGTTAGAGCACCTGTAAGGAAAACTTTTTCTGATTTTATCTGTTCAAATAAATATGGAAGCATCCAAATAGAACGCAGAGTCATTTGTCTTCAGATCTCAACTATAATAAGCACAAAAGGGCTTTTTTCTGTTCATGCCAAGATGCGAATTCTGAACATTCTGAATGTAGATTGCGGCATTGGGAGAAAACAAAGAAAACAAGGGAGCCCTCGCCCTGTGTTCTTAGTGGATAAACCCTTGTGCATTCCAAACAAAGCAATATAAACAGAAAAAAATCCTTTTAAGCTTGTTATAGTTGAGCTCCGAAGACAAATGACACTGCGTTCGATTGGGATGCTTCCATGTTTATTTGAACAGATACAATCCAAAAAAATTTCATATCAGGTGCTCTAACTTACCGTATTGCGTTATTGTCAACTTTCGTAGGTCCCTTTTTGAATTTTTTTCCGGCCCTTTCCGGACGAATCAGAGAGAACATGTTTTACTGAGAGGTGCTTTTTAAAAGTATCCAACACGTGAAATGTGGCCAATACAAGGTGATAAACTGTATGTAGTTGAGAGTGAACTGGATGGCGTGCATTTGGCAGAAAAACTGAAGTCAGGTAAATGTCAGTTTATCAGGCTTTCTCAATTCCAAGATTACTACCTTTTAACTTACCGAATATTTACAACATACTTCCCCTTGTCAGGAAAGGAGCAGTTTTGGAGTTGTCACAAGGGCTAGCTACAACTGGGGGATGAAGCACGGTTCAGAACCTTTCTTCCCAGCCCAAAGGCTAGGCTCGAGGCAGACAGCTGGTCTCAGTCCACCTTCCAAAATATCCTTTGACAGGACATTTACGTCAAAACGGTTCCAAAACTTGCTACATGTGGAAGTCCAGCTGCGTTATACACTGTGAATGCGAGATAAATAGCCAAGAGGTACAGAGTTGGATAAAATTCCAAGTCACTGCCTTAGATCATCCGTTTTCGTTGCTCAATGCTAGGCCTAAAACCCCCAGATAAAAAATGATGAAATTAGCCGAGTTGTGAGTGCCCGGCGCATCTTGAGAGCGTGATGTAAATTACAATCAAACGGTAAGAACATGGTGCAAGACGCCAAGTTTGATCAAATCGACCAACTCTTTGGAAACAAACAAAACTGCAGTGTCTTCAAATCAACTTCTCACCAACGTAATTTGCAAACTTTATTTTACAAATACTCAAAACGTGGATACTATAGAATCAACGTAATATAAAATGAACGACTTATCATTCTCAATGAAGAATCTTTCGCCTCTCTTCATGGCAATATATATTAATCTTGTCAGGTCCAAATGAACACGTTTCTGTTCGTAACTTCTCGACTAGATGTAAATATGTTGCTCATGAACTTAACAAATTGTGTCAACTTACAGTCTATCTGTATCTCTAAAAAATCTGGAAATCTTCAGTATATTTTCATTAAATGTACTCTGATAATGACCATTTTTTTTTTGAGGCCTTAACATAAAAAACAGAAGAAGCTTGGAAATTTAATCCTTGGTTTACTTTCCTGTAAAGTGTTAACACAGATACAAGTGAAAAAGCAACACAAAATGTAGCTACATGAAGAACCAGTGGCTACCACAGCAGAAAATATACATGTAAGTTGTCAAGGATTCTTGAATCATTTTAACTGATTAAAATTATAAATCAAAGTTTGGACTACATCAAAAATCTTAACCGGCCACTTGCTGATTGGTCAGTTAACCTTTAAGCCTACTTTTAATGAAGCTTCAGTTTGAAGAAAAAGGAAAACTATTTACAAAAAGCAAATTATTAAAACCTGGTGAAGTGTTGTATTTGATGTATGGGTTAGTACTAGTTATCCTCTAAATGCTCAGTGAGAACTGGTAAAATACAGGCAGACGAAGCACAGTTTTCATCCTTGAGAATTGTAAAATGTGAAATGGCACGTTTTTTTTATGAGGTCAGCAAATCAGTATCATACATTTGAGTGTGCTTGACATCATGGACATCTACTCTCAGAAAGTCATGATTCGTATATGTAAGTTTTCACTACTTTTTGACCAGCATTTATTGAAGTCAAATAAATCCTTTATTGCGACTGTCATCAATCATGAATCCATCTACTTCAGAAGGCGGATGGTCTTGCCAAGCCAAATCAGGAAGTCTTCATCTTGTAGTTCTCTCAGAGCCCCGTCAAACATTTCCTTTGTTACTGGCTGCAGAGTAATACAAAATAAGTAATAAGTCATCAAGAAACCACAATCAAAGCTTTATGATCCATATGCTATGTCCATAAACCAATGCCCCTCATTATTTCATTGCTATTTTTAACCGTTTACTGAAATGGCGGTTGTATGTTGGTGAAGTTATGTATGACTAAACTTTTATAAGCAAAATAGAAAAGACTAACCATCTCTGACTGCTGCCTCAACTCCTCAAACGTTGTCTGGTACTTGAGGGTTGCCACTCGGCCTTTGCCTTCGATCTGCTTCTTGAGGGCACCCTTCACTTCCTGTCTCTGCTTGCGAGCAGACGTGCTCATCCCTGTAGCTAAGATGTCGATATTGATGGTACCATCCCGTGGATCAAAGGCAGACTGCTTCAGAGCTTCATAGTGCAACCTGCATGGTGTTGGATGAAGGAACACACAAAATTTAAGAGGACTCAATGACAGGTGTTCATAAAGTAAGATTTCAAAGATATCTTTACCCAATCTTGACCAAACCAATCTTTTTTTTTTTCAAGATTTTTTTTTTTTTTTTGCGTTGGAGAGATGTTAATTTTATATAACAGGTTTTGCCCTTACCCAACGTGTACCGCGGGTACCGCGAACTATTTTTTTCAAGATGTATTTTTTTTTGCGTTGGGGAGATGCTAATTTTAATTTTATACAACAGGTTTTGCCCTTACCCAACGTATATCAGTAAGCACTGCATGCTCAGTGCTTGTCCGAGAGCTTGCGAAAAATAAAACATCTTGAAAAAAATAGCTCGCGGTACCCGCTGCTTCATTTGACTCGGACCGGCCAGCCGACCCTGGCAAGCTCGGTGGTCGAGTGGTTAAGACATCTGCACTAGTAAGCAGGAGGTCGTGGGTTCGAGTCCCACCCGAGTAGGCTTCTGAGGTTTTTTTCGCAAGCTCTCGGACAAGCACTGAGCATGCAGTGCTTACTGATATACGTTGGGTAAGGGCAAAACCTGTTATATAAAAAACCAATCTTTCTCAATTGTTTTCAGTATAATCTAGACGCCAATCTTTACTTGATCAAAGCAAATGGTGAACAACAAATAGAACTTCAAGCCATTTTATTACAAAGAGGTATCATCCACCTGCTGACAATTTCCCAATGCGGCCGTATCATCCACCTGCTGACAATTTCCCATTGCGGCCGTATCATCCACCTGCTGACAATTTCCCAATGCGGCCGTATCATCCACCTGCTGACAATTTCCCAATGCCTCCATCACAAACAACTCCTTGTCTTCTTACCTCTTAGCTTCATCTACATCCACTGTCTCTACAACATTAGAGAACCTCATCCTAGCGTGAGCCTCAGCTAGACGGATCAAAGATTCTAGCTGTCGTGGGTAGGCAGACACCATACCCCTAGCACTTCCAATCTTCCTCATCTCCACATAAGCATGAATGAGAAGCTGACTGGCCTCTTCACTCAGTTTGGGGTGGACGTAGGTGCGAGCGTAGGAGAGGTAGTCTCGGAGAAGAGCCAAATCCTAACACAGCAAGCAGTGGAGTTTAATTGACACAACGCTGAGTCTATTTAGCGGTGGAAAGGTTGGCTAAGATTTCCTTCTCATTTACCATTTCATATCTTAAAGCTTTCCCAAAACTACAAATAATTACATGACTCTGTAATCCACACCTTTGTATATTTCAAAGATAACCACACTATACGCCATGTAGTTTGTGTACGTTCACATGCCTACAGAAGACATAGTGTGCTTTTTGACACCCTGTAAATTTTGAATCAGGAGAGGTTGTATAAATCACATGACCAGTCCCATGGTGTGTTACATAAACAGTTTGTGATTAGTTCTCATATAATTGTGCTCCTTTCATACAAAATCACATTCCATGAGAAACCAAGCAAGGCTAATCTTGTTCTTCATTTTCTGAAAAAGAAATTTTTCTCGAATACCTACCATGTGCTCTCCATCTTCTACTTCACCGCCCTGGTGATAGAGTGAGACCAGATGATTGGCCAAACGCCGATCAAAAATCTCGTCTTGGGGATCCAGGATCAAGAAGATCAAATCAAATCTGAAAAATGAAGTTTAGATCTTCAAGCATTTTATACTGACTAAAACAAATGAAAATAATCCAGATTATTTATTCATTTAAACATAACAATTACTTCAGAGTTAATTTTAATAGCAGTGTTGTATTTAAGTCTATCACAAGTCCTTTCACAAGTCCCTTCGCAAGTCCAGTCACAACTCCCCTCACAAGGCCAGTTACAACTCCCCTCACAAGGCCAGTCACAACTCCCCTCACAAGACCAGTCACAACTCCCCTCACAAGGCCAGTTACAACTCCCCTCACAAGGCCAGTCACAAGTAACAGGTTGAACAATGACAAAGAATGCTTTTGTCACAGCTCATTTGAAAATTTGTGAATTGGCTCAAGACAGAATGACTCGTTGTGAACTTACAGGGACTTGCAATGACTTGAATACAACACTGTTTAATAGTGAATTAACCAACCTGTTTTTTATTCCATTGAACTTTAAGGGTATAACACTTTAAAAAAAATGGAGGCATCAGGTCTATGGATCATGGTATTTTTAATGTAGGTGCCGCTGGCCCATCGCTGTCCATTTTTTCTTCTGGTTGAATAAATAATAATAACAACAAAAAACCCTGTTCACTCAGTTTTTTGTTTCTGTACATACCGAGACAGCAGTGTATGAGGCAACTGAATGTTATCAATGATTGTTTTCTTGGGATTCCATTGGGAATCTACAGGATTAGCAGCAGCCAGGATTGAAGTACGAGCATTCAGAGAACAGATGATTCCAGCCTTGGCAATAGATAGCGTCTGTTGCTCCTGCACAAGACAAGATTGTGGGAAAAAAGTAATGTCGTGATTTGAAACGTGATATGAAGCTTTGCATGATGACAGAAAGATATCTCAAAAAAGGTCTACTAGACATAGCTGGTACACGTACATATCAACACCCTTTAAGTAATTGTTTCCAGTAAATATTATCAACAAATTCAGAATTTAAATTGAGAAACTTTTACATCAATAGAGGTAGATAGGTACTTGAGTAACTGATCCACACGCAGCTGATGAGACAGGAAAAGATACTTGTTACTTTAGAAAGGCTTCACTTGACCATGGCTGAGTACCTTGTAATGATGGCAAGAATTCTGCCATCAATTTAAGTTGCTTGTTGAAAAACTTAAAAACATACCATAACTTCATGGAGAACAGAACGTGTGCTGTCATTCATCTTATCAAACTCATCAATACAACAGATGCCATTGTCACTCAACACCAAAGCACCACTGCAATGACCACAAATAATAAAAAATAAGGTTTCCATTAGACTAAGTATAGGTCTGAAAATAACTGTGCCCTCGATGGTACATATGAGAAAGTCACACATAGGTGATGGCAATTGAGCACAATTACTGTGTTACATTTGCCTTTCAGATTCTGCAAGAATCAAAATATCAGGCCCTCCAACTTTTTTAGTTTGAAGACTGTAGGTCACTGTAGTCAGCAAGTAATTGACTGCAGCTTTTGTATTTTACTTTCTTGCCTCAGCTTTGTGTGGCTATCTCATGATATGAATACATTATGGTTTCGCACATGAGGCTAGACTGCTCACCACTTTTCCACACGTCTCAAATCTGAAAGTGTCTCCCCTAGTCAATATGCTATGGCATACGCAGAAAGTCCAGTGGATGCTTACGTTTGTAGAACCAACTGCTTGGTTTCAGGATCCTTGGTGACATAAGCTGTCAGACCAACAGCACTGGATCCTTTGCCTGACGTATACTGCCCTCGTGGGACCAAGTTGTTTACATATTGCAGCAGCTGTGACTTGCTTGTTCCTGGATCCCCGCATAGCAAAATGTTGATGTGGGACCTGGGCATGGGGTCAAAGGTCAACACCATTAGTAGACACACATATAACTAATAAAAATCTCTCCACTCGGCGAAATACATTTAAATTGAGTCAGTGTCTGTTAAGGTTAGATATAAACTCTTACCTGAAATTGGCACGTCCAGTTTCAGAGAAATCTTTCTGGGTTGCACCAAAAAGCTGACATAAGATCCCCTTCTTGATGTCTTCATTCTCAAAGATGCTAGGAGCTGTGAAAGACATAATTCAAATGCCTCCAAGTAAGTTTATTCAATAGTCCATAGGCATCTAATCTTACCCTCCCAACCCCTGCCTAACTCTATAGACAACTCCACAGGCCAAAGATACATAGCATGAATGACACAGCACCAAGTTACTTTGCAGATTATTCACTCACACCAGAGCAGAAATCCGTGCACTTCAAATTTAGGAGTGCATGTGAAGTTCCACCCCAAGATAAATGGAGGTTTTTCGCACACTAATAGCACTGCAATTTGGCTCTTCACTCAAAACGGCAAATGATTAATGTAAAAGATCATTTCTCCATCAACAAATGAGAAAATTTCTAATGACAGCAATTTCTTCAGGTATTATATAAAAGAAACACTACCTCTTAATTGTGCATAGCACACAATTTCACTGAGTGATGGAACATTCCATGTGTTACCATGTGAAATTATTCTCGCCACCTCACTCACAAATATTCATTATTGGCATAATGTGAGCTTCCCAAACCTACACCAGTCTGGTCATTGCATCAACCTACCAGGTTAGATTTTATTCAAAGACCAGGGTGTCAATGGATTAAGCAGCCCTATGATACTTACCCAAAGCTCTAGCAAGTCTCTCATAAATGTCCTCTTTCTGGGAAAGGTCAATCAACAGCTGCTTACGCTCCTCAGTGAAAATCTGCTGTTCATCTCTGATCACATGCAAATAGCAGTACAAGCCTTTATCAGTTCAAACTTCATATATTAGATGCAAGGAACTCCAGGAATGGTCCAAGTAATGACTCTGAGCCCTAACTATGCTGTGTCTAACACAATTTTCTACAAAATTTCAATTGTCCCGGCAGTTTATGTTAAACATCTTTTAAGGGCAAATCACTGGCATTCTGACCTCTCTAGAAATATCACTTGGTGCTGTCTACCTCTGGTCCATCACCAACTTTTCTTGCACTGTTTAAGTTTTATTGGTAAATCAGTGAGCAGGCTATTTGGACACATTTTTCCACTTTTAAGACATTGCTTATACCTCAACCGTTCCCTCAGCTGCTAATGGCATCTGAAAAGTGAAAATCGGAGGCATCAACAGAAGTAATAAATGTTGGTTGGAGACTTGAAGTCTTTCTGAACATATTTATTAAATTTTTGTGCAAACAAGTACTTACCCATCACCCGCTTGCTCATGAAGTCGACTAGCATCATCCTTACAGAACTGAATGACATCAATGTAAGTCTTGTACACAGCCTTGACGTTGCGTTGGCGTGGGTTGACGCGTAGTGGAGTTGCACGGTAGATACCAGTGACAGAGACACGATCACCAGGTTGTATCGAATCCACAAGGTCATTGTGGGCATACAAGATAACAGTGTGAGGTGTTTGACCAGCCGGCATATCATCTGCACAACAGACAAAAGATCACAAGTCATTAATATTTTGTATGGTTGATTTCAGCAGTTGATTAGCAGCTCAGTGTAGGGAAATTTAACATGCAAGTTACGAACCAACAATTCTCTTGTGTGTTGTGGTGTCCAACAGGGTTAGTGCTTATTAATTAGATTGAAAAACAGTATTGGATGGAACAGGTGGCCAGCTGGGTAAGTAAAAACAATCACAGGAATGTCTGCTGTTAGACTTGCATAAAAATGATCAAAAACTGTGCCAAGCAGTTAATGATTAATTTAAAGATTTTTAAAAAAGGCAATTTAAGAAATATAAGCATTCATAATAACTTCCATAAAACTCAAATCTTCAATTGTTAACCTATGATATTAAACTGTCCATTTTAATATCAAAATATTTCTGAGATAGTTGGGTTTTACATCAATGGTTTCATCTGTTTCCTGAAAGCAACAGGTGGAATGACTCATTAACTAGCTGAGTTGTAATGGCTCAAGTCAAAGACTCGACTTTAGTCCGACTTGAGTCACAATTTTGGCAAACTGCCTCAACTTGAGTCTCGACAGGTAAATGATGACTCGACTCGTCTGCGACAAAATGACTCGACTCAAATCTCTCATGGAGACTCGACTCGAGTACAAGCTTATGACTCGAGTCTCAAAAAACTTAAAAGTAAAATATTTGTTGGTTAGATACCTGTCACCCTAATCTATTTTCAATATGTCTAAATGAAAAATAAAAATACCAAAAACTGACTTACAGTTTGTGACTCAAATTGACTTGAGCTCAGCACATGACTCGACTTCTTGACCTAATGACTTGACTCGAGTCACCAAATTTAGTGACTCGTTCCAGCATTGATTAGTGCTCAATGTCTTTGACACTCTGGACTCATTCATGAAGTGACGTCAGGGACAGAATCTTACCAGGTGATTCCTGTAGTTTAATCATCTGCTTGTCAGAAAACTGTGAGCGATTATGAATCAGTGCCATGCTATGTTTGGTCTGGCAGTTACGACAGACAGAAGGCTCAGCAATACGTCCTCGGTCAATCTCTACTGTGGTCGTGAAGGCACAGACATGGCAACGGAAGAATGCCTCTCGCATCTCTGGAATGAGCTGAGACGTACGGATCACCATGCCACTGATAGTGACCAGTTGATCAATGTCTGGTGGGAAATATTAAAGAAACTGGACAAAAATCTTGAGCAAAGTAGGGATAATTTTGTTACCATTCTCTTTTTTCCCTTTACAGATACCTTTACTTTTACCAGAAAGGAAACGAACTACCAGTTTATATAGATAGCAGAATGATAAAATTTGAAAAATAAGAGCTTTGTCAAAGATGAATAGTTTCCAGTTTCAGGAGTTTTATTCATAACTGATTTATTTCACTGAGCACCTTGAAATACAATGTTGCCTATACTATACACAGACTATGCTACGCTAATTCGCCAAATAACAGGATGTTAGAGTAAAGATATTTTTCATTTCAGTTGTGACAGGAAGCCATTAACCACTTCGCGCTGGAGGCATTTATGAATGTTGATGATGATGGGACGGGATAATTTCCTCTTTTTTTCTATTTTCAAAATTCTTTAAAAATTCATATCTTCATTTACTAGACACTTACACCCACACATAGGACTGTCTGGTTTCTACTCTAATCCGACAGACAACATCTATTGGCGCTAGAGTATTTCAGCTAGGCCTGCTGCCTTGTAAAAAGAGCCCAGATTGTGCGGTGTTATGCAACTTTCTTTTGTTCACGAACCTGTAACAGTGTGCTGCTGACCTCTTTTCAATAGGGGCCAGATTAGCGGTACTGATGCAGCGGTACTGTGTGGCTCATCACTGCGGTGGTGGAGTGCTTTTGCCAGCGGTAGTAATCAACTCGCTCTAAATGCCCCAAACCGTGGTATACTGCTTCAAAACAAGGCTGGATTATCTCTACTACTGAGAGTGAAAAAATGTCGGTAATGCCCAGCAGCCTGGTCTTTGTTATGAGTATGGTCTTTTGTTACAAGGCCCAGTTCCCTTTGTCCGATTTTGGAGACCCTGGCCACGCGTATAAAGAATACGTGTCTGGTATCAGCAACCCCGGCGGCAGGTGGTTAAAACTCAAGCCATGAAGTAGGGATAAATCACTTTCTGCCCCAGCAGAGTCAAACCATGAGCCCTCATACAGAAGTACAACTTTGCCATCCAGGCTATCCTATTATCTGATTGTCATTATAAATGGAGAACAAAATCCCACTCACCTTCTGGGTTCAGCGATCTCATATTTTTGGTTTTCTCAGTGTTGTAGGTTCGCACCTGGATCTGGTGTTCCAGTGTTGTGTCAGGGTAGCGCTCAAAGAACATCTCATTCACAGCCATGTCAAAGGTCGGGATGACTTCTTGTGGGTAGCAAACTAGCTGGTGATACAGGTCCGAGTCAAACTGGTTCAAGTGCTGGCAGTTGACATTCAGGAATGGCAACTCTAAAGTGTTGATCTGTGAAGAAGAATAGCAGGAATATTTAAGAAATAAAACTAGAGACCAGGATGTTATGCATCAACCTCCAAGCCTCAGAGATTTCATTTATTCCAAGCATTGTCTTTACCTCATCAAGTTTCTGGAGATAGAGAGGTTCGTTGGGGTCAATACCCTCAGCCTCCTCAGTATCAGGGTCAATGAACCGTTGGATGAAGCGAGTGAACTTGGATTTAGCTTCACTGACCACCACATTGGTACCCCAGATGACCAGTTGTGGACCGCCAGGCTGTTCACTGGTAACAGCAGCCGTGGGCTCAGAACCATCTCCCTGTGAAAAAATGGTGCACAAGTTTAGCTAAATATCAACAATAATCTTTGCTAATTTTTGGACACATCCATTAAAACCAGCCATGGCAAGAATTTTGGACAGCTTAATGGACACTTTCAGATAAGCCAATACTCACTGAAGGATCTGACTGTAAGTTGACCTGCCTCATCTTGCGATTGCTGGTGATGTCATTTCGAGGCCTCAAGGGTGTGCCACTTAATATAGGTTAAGGAAAAGCTTTCAATGCTTCCTGAGAAAACTTCTTGATTAGTGACCAAAAAAATCATACAATAAAATAAACCTGATTGAAAAAATAAATCTAAAAGAAAAAGCAAAACATAAACGTACATGATACCATTCAAATTAAAACTGTAAAATTGGTTTTAGTTCTTAAAGACACTGTATCGTGCCTTTAAACATTTATCAATAGCGCCTTCTAGTGACCCCAGTGGTGTTTAAGTGGAAACTCTATTATGTTCGAAGTCCACAAGAGGGTAACTGCCCTATTTTGTCCTTGATTGATAAGCAGTGGTAGGGTCTGTTATATGGACCTTACAGGAAGTTACTACAACTGCATTGTAGTTTGAATTGAGTGCATCCTAAAACAACTACACAATTCCAAGCATATCTTACTATATTTTAGCCAAAGTTTAACAAGAGTAGGCAATCGAATACACACTACAATACAAGAAATTTCAGACAAGATTACGTGTCCTGAGTGTTTACTTTCTATTTAGGGTCATGAGTTTTGTATCCTCCAATTAGCTCCAGAAAAAACTTGTGTACAAATATCGATTTCACTATATGTAGAAGGGTTAAGAGTTTGATGGAAGGATACGCCATGCGTCCTGGAGTTCCACTCATTCGAGAGCTTGGTGTTCCATAGTTCAAAGGAGAGCTCATCCCAATATCGCTGGTACCTGGATGTGATCATGATAAATCCAAAGAACAAAAAAGATTGCATAAATGGACTCAGCACTTGTGTGAAAATAAAACACTTCAAAAACAGATTTGAGAAAGATAGAGCCCTAATTTACCTTGCTTCTATCACGTCTAATCATGTGTTAGTGATAACATTCTAGATTAAGTCCAGAGAAATCCTGAAAGTGAGATGCAAGAAGTGACAAGTGTCCTATACCTCGGTAATTTCTGGTACGCTGAATTTTAAATGGGACATTCCTAACTCTTTACAACTTTTTTTGCCGACTTAAATGTTTTACTGTTGGTGTATTAAATGATACAAGACAAACTCCACAACAGCAAACCTCTGCTCCAGAATGCAGCAATATCGTTCTGCAACTTTCACCAACAGTGAACACTGAATCCGTTGGTGAGTATCTTAAGTATGTCTACGGAGTAGTTTGAAAGGAATCAAACAGTACATAAATGCAATTGCTAAATTACAATGCAAGACATATCACAGTTGCAAAGTGCCCATTATAAACCTTCCATACCTGAATCATTCCAAGTGAAGACTTTTCACACACCGTAGGGGGTTAGGCATAAGAACAGGCAGTAAATCCAGAGCTCTTTCTACATTCACTAACCAGAGGGTGGCACAATTTGAAATCTTACCAGCTCTAGATAAGCCAGGGCTTGAAAACACTGATATATCCTGCAATCCACCAGATGCAGGAGAGGAAGGCATGGGGCGTAGGTCTCCACTAGGGGATGAGTCCAACGGCCTACCAACCTCAGATGCTGGTGGAGATACAGCATTTCTTTGCTTGGCGACTCGACTGCTTGCTGTGTCAAACACAAGAAAACAAACTGCAAGTGCCATTGCCTCAAAACTAGATCATTAAGACTTCAATTGTTGTTTAAAGCTGTGCAAGGCAGATTAATGTACAGAGACGTATGTCTGTAAGTTCATCATATCAGCTACCTCATTTAGGATGAAGTACTGGTTGAAATGTCTTGACCTTTTTTCATCACTGGCTCTTTTCAGAGAAAAAAACCTCTTCCTAAAAGAGCATACTTCCACGGTGTATCTGCAAAAATAGCTCCATGTAGATTATTCATGCAAACAGCTTACAATGAGTGTCCTGTTTTCGTAAAGTTCACAATAATTTCTCCCTTTTTTACTCATCTTTTTAACTCAGCAAGTTTTGGGTAGAAATAAAATCCATTTTGTTATAACCACTACTAATATTATGTAACTTCTGTTAAGATCTTTCCCATCCCACTTTCAATTTTTAATTTGATTCCAACTCTGGCTGATTTCATTCAGAAAGCCTTCTGAACCAAGTTTCAACACTGTGGAAAAAACCAATAGCACATTTTGCTGTCTTATGAAAGATGTTCGCACACCAAGATCATGTTCAGCAATACAAACCTCGCCTAGGCTGAACTGAATCTCTTAAACTGGTGTTGGGGGGATTTGGGCAGATACATTAGGTTCCCGTTTTGTTTTTGTATTATTTTCTCTTACGTGTTCGTGGCCCTCCTGGTGTTCCACTGGACATTCCAGCAGCATCCCTGGTGCTTCGACGAGGTGTTTCACTTTGTTGGCTACCTTTACGCCCTCGCTTGTTTGGTGTCTTGTCAACATCTGTGTCATCATCAGCTCGATTTCGTTTGCTGCTGCGACGACTCCTTGGGCTGCTGGTGACCGAACTACTTGGTGACGACATGGCTGTGATTGCAGATTGTGTAAATTCTGAGAATGATTAAGAAATAGCATTAGAATCAGCATCACCATCTAGAAATGCACACAGCTGAATGGCAATGTGGATGCAACATTTGAGGATAAGTGTAAGATACTAAGACCTACAACCTAGAACTGGTCACACGACGTGAAATGCAATCTGAATTCTTATTATCTGACTATCTGCAATGCAATGAAAACATGGTGAGAATTCCATTTATGAACATCACTTATTTTCCCTTGCAGTAGTTTACAAGACATTAGTTGATCAGAAAGTGATAATATGACCTTTAGTAACAGCAGTGTAAATATTGAAGCATTTACTTAGAAAACGCTGAGTTTTTCAGACTAGTCTCATAGGGCTTGTGCACAGGGTGTCACGTGATGTCCGTATATGGAACACTTTCCAAAAAGGTAATTCAGCCACATCAGTTATCACTTGGTTGGTGAACACGATACACCATGGAGTCACAAACATGACAAATTTTTAAAGTGCTTCCTTACATTTTCCAAGCTACAAATCAAATCAAATTTTTCCCCATCAAAAATTTGAGCATGTTGGTAGGCCTAGGGCCTAAGCAGCTAAGCCCTTTTTAATCAGGCTGTTGCATTTTTCTGCTCTGAAACATTAGGCCTAGGCCCTATGTAGGCCTACCACTGCCGGGCCTTTCAACACGTAACATTGGGTCCTCCTTCCTCCGAGGCCACACAAAGCACTAATTATGCCTTTTGTACAGGCCCAGGTAAATGTAGGCCTAGCGTATACAGTCAACATGGTCAGGAGGCATTTAAAAATGTCCCCTTTCTGTTTAGTTTGAACAGTGAAATGTATGCAAAAAAGTCAAAGAAACTCCGCTATCACAAACACAGTTCTGTCCCATGACCAAATCGCGCAAAAGATACCTACTGATGAGATTTCTTACCAAGAATTCAACGATGAATGATGATCCCCAGTTTCCTTTGACAATCTTATTTCTATCTTTCCCGCGATTTGCTTTCAGTCGACGGTGCAATTTCAATCACGTGTCAAATTCAGCGCGCGAAATGCACTGGGACTATTTAAAAGTGATAAATTTATTATTGTTATTATAAAGTAAAATGAAAATACATAGTGAAGTATATTGTACATTACAATTTCACCTTGTCAATAACATATACTTCAAATATTTTTAAAAATTTCAAATCGAAATTTGATTGACAAATTAATGGACAAGATTTGCCAATTGTTTTTAATTTATAAAAACATGACTAAGTTGTATCCTTTTTGTAGAGGGCGCTATATCAAAACGTAACCTATTCAAAACAAAAACTGGCCTAGGCGCCTGGGCCAAAAGGAGCAAAAAACTGCTGTTTTTCGTGCGCGTTGCAGCACTTTCGAGACAGCAACCATGCAGCAACAGAGCCCTACATCTGCGAGTTTGCTAGCTCTTGTACACTCCTGCCCACCGAAATGTGAAAGAATGCAAGTGAGTCGTGGAAGACAACTGTAACTTGCAACTAAATAGCATAAGCCATTGTGGGTAACAGAAAGGCATTACAAAATCACCCGTTGGCCATGCAGTATTTGCAATCAGGCTTAGGAAAAAATGTTGCACCCTGACTCCACTTTTATCATCATTTATCATCTCAATAAAAGTCAGTCATTACAGAAATGTTGGAAAGACACAAATTCTGGACCGAAAAACATTTACCGATGTTGTTGGGAAATAGAAAATTCTCTTCACTCCCCATAGACTTTGTACACAACTGCTGAAGTGGAGTCAGGATGCAACATTTTTTCCAAGGTGTATGACAAGTCATGTTAGTATAATCATGGAGGAAGGGTCTGTTTTCCTTCCTCCATGGTATAATTTAGGAACTGAACTTTGTCGTTCATTATTCATGTAGACTGGTTTGGACATGTTGAAGGGATTAGCTAGGCCTACTTCATTTTTACTGTCACGGTAGGTCTGTGGTAACGCCCCATCTAGTGCCATGCCCAACTTTTGTTATCCAGCACAATTGAATACAAAGATATTACAATTACTATATAATTGGGGTAATTTATATGTTCCCTGTTTTCTATTCACCGATGTGAAGTTGGGCTAGTTCCTTGTTTGATGTTTGACATTTAATGTTGAATAAGTAACCGTTTGATATTCCAATGGGAATAAGTTCCATCTACGGACACACATGGAAAGAAAGTTGGAGATTTAATATGCGTTGATCGATCGCACTTAGCATCCTTTTCCCACAAAGTGTTTTCTTTTTAGTTGGGGTAGTGACACAGCGAGTTAGAATGTAATAAGCCCTAGACTTATACGTAATAATTCTGTATGTTACACCATGGTTCTCTACATGTACTTAAACATGGTTGTGATACTTACTGACATTGAAATACATACGTGTATACAGTGAAGCCACTGAGGGTGCCATGATGTCATCATCTAAGAAAAGAGCTAGTCTTGATCTGTCTCAGATACCGTGTACTCCAGTCAACGAGGGTAGTCGTGTACCTCCAGGATGTGTGGTCACTAGCCAACGATGGAAAGGGTCAGAACTGGTCAACACATTACAAGGTAATTGGTAAAAATCAATCAATCATTGATGTTTCATTAAAATATCCATCTTAACCCTAACAGTCCTCGGTCCTCCAACAGGTGAAGGATTGAGGACTGTTAGGGTTAAGTGACACAAGGCCAAATGTATTGCATCACTTTGGATCATGCACCTAATAATACTAATAATGGAAAGAGTTCCACATACGGTCAAAAAGTGTTGTACTGCACTGTACTGTGCCATTTCCACAAAATTATCAAAGGCGCAGTACAGGTACAATTTAAGGAGTTAAATGAATTAGACAGGATAAGAATTTAAGTAATATGTCATGTCACCGCACTAGTACACAAACCGCAGTGTGAGGTTACATCTGTCCTGCCAACAGGTGGAATAAATTGATCGGCTGCAGACCTAGCCCTGCTGGCATAGATGATATCGGATACAAACACACTACTGCAGCTAAAACTGATTCATTCCAACTAAACATTTCTGTGGAAGTAGCATTTTGCAGTTGTATTTGCATGTAATGAGCTCTCTTTAATAGTTTGTCACAAGTTTTCATTATTACCAAAATATGTACAGAACTTCCGATCTGTTCACCATTTTCCAGGGAAATTGAAAGTTATCATTGAGGATAAGCTAGGTGTGATTGACTTCCATCCATCCAATGATGCTGGCATTGTGTATATCTCAGAGACAGACTTAGTGGCTGGAAGTGGCTACAAACAGAAACTAGCTAAACTGAGGAAGGTAAAGGCCACAGGTCACACACTGCTTCTTATGATTGTGTTTATAAATGCTTCAACGATTATGTAACTTGGCACTTGTCATTACAATTGTGATCAGTGTGTCTGAATTGATTCTGCAATGGTGACATTGACCACTGTAAATGATTCAAGTTTGTTTAGTTACCACTGTGTTCCATAGTGAGCTTAAGAAGTCATACAAGCTTGCTGTAGGAACTCGGCCTGACTCGGGCCAATCAATTTTACCAAGTTGTCTTGAAGTATATGGTAACATACATATATGACTGGCTGATAACATTGACCAGACTATTGACTCACTCAGTTACTCTAGTGCTCAGTTATCACAGTGTATCCAG